CTCCATTGACGCCGATCGAGTTCGCCTCACCTCCAAGTGACATCACTGAGTTCGTGGACGCCTACCACGAAGGTGAGGAGGTGCGGTTCCGTAGGCTGGACGACATCATCGGTGGCACAGGTCCCTCAGGTCTGGCGGGTAGGCTGCTCAATGACGTAGAGCTGCTACTCGTTAGTGCAGAGGAACCACCCACGTTCGCGCTAGCCGAGCACGATGGAAACTGGCGACGGGCGATGCTAGAGGAGATGAAGGCGATCGAGGAAAATAAGACTTGGCAGCTTTTCGATCCACCTCCAGGATGCCGTTCGATCAGCCTGAAGTGGGTGTACAAGGTCAAGCGGGATGAGCATAGCGCCATTGTCAAGCACAAGGCGCGCCTCATGGCCTGAGGCTTTGTACAGCGCGAGGGCATCGACTTCGAGGAAGTCTTTGCGCCGGTAGCGCGCATGGAGTCTGTCCGTTTGCTACTAGCTTTGGCAGCAGCAAAGGACTGGCGCATCCATCACCTGGATGTTAAATCGGCCTTCCTCAATGGTGAGCTGGAGGAAACGGTCTTCGTTAGGCAACCTCCGGGTTTCACCGTCAAGGGAGAGGAGCACAGGGTGCTCCGACTGCGCAAGGTGCTCTACGGGCTGCGACAGGCCCCGTGAGCATGGAACACCAAGCTTGACGCCATGCTGGGCGAGCTTGGGTTCAAAAGGTGCGCAACCAAGCACGTGCTCTACACGTGGCGATGGGGGAAGGAGGAGCTCGTCGTCGGCGTGTATGTGGACGACTTGATCGTCACCGGTGCGCGTGCGGAGGACATCAACAGCTTCAAGCGTGAGATGGCGGCTCGTTTTTGAATGAGCGATCTCGGGGCGCTCACCTACTACCTCAGCATCGAGGTCAGACAGGGGAGGGAGGCACTCACGCTCGGTCAGAGCGCGTATGCCTCGAAGCTGTTGGAGCGGAGCGGCATGGCTGAGTACAAGCCATGCGTAACTCCGATGGAGGAGCGGCTAAAGCTGACAAAGGCCAGCACCGCGGTGAAGGTGGATGCAACACTCTACCGGAGCATCGTCGATGGTCTGCGCTACCTAGTTCACATGAGGCCAGACATTGCGTTCGCCGTGGGCTACGTCAGTCGCTTCATGGAGGATCCCAGAGAGGATCACTGGGCTGCAGTGAAGCGGCTACTACGCTACATCAAGGGCACGGTGGATCACGGGATCGTCTTCCCCAAGACCGGCGGAAGTAGGCTGCAGCTCACTGTCTTAGTGATGCAGACATGGCGGGGGACATCGATGGACGGCGGAGCACCTTTGGCGTGCTCGTCTTCCTCGGGTCGGGCCCAATTTCATGGCTGTCGCTAAAACAGAAGGTGGTGGCGCTATCTACGTGCGAGGCAGAGTACGTAGCGGCGGCCACAGCGGCGTGCAAAGTTGTGTGGCTACGCCGGCTGCTGGGCGAGCTGACCGGCGTGGAAGCTCACCCACCAGCACTGATGGTGGACAACCAGCCCGCCATCGCCCTAGCGAAGAATCCGGTTCTGCACGACCGGAGCAAGCACACCGACGTGAAGTTCCACTTCCTCAGGGACTGTGTCGATGGAGGGCATATCGTCATCGAGTTCATCGAAACTGGTCGGCAACTCGCGGACGTCCTCACCAAGCCGCTCGGACGTCTTCGTCTCACGGAGCTGAAGGAGATGATCGGCATGGAGGGGGTGCAAGGGTTAGTAGTAGGATTAAGGGAAGATTGTTAGATAATCTACTGCTACCTTGTGTGAACACACAGCAAAGGAAGGCGGCGCCGAAAAGGCCCCTTGCTGTGATACTATAGCCGCTGCAGGTGCAGGCGCCGCACGACTCACCTGTAGCACTGTAGCCACATGCAGAGACTGGTGCCAGAGTCAGCCTGCTGTGTTATCTAGTTCCTGTAGCAGCATGGCAGTTGTACTAGGACTAGATAGATAGAGTTGTATATATAGTTTGCCACTGCAACTCAACAAATAGAGTTTAGATTTGCCATCTCCCATACAGGGTCCCGGCCAATGCTGGTGTCTCTGCTGTGTGTGTATGCTCTGTTCTCCCTCTTCTTCTACCGCTAGCCAAAGTGTGTGTGGACGGACAACGCTTCTTTGTGGTCGGCACAGCTAGAGAGTACTCGGCAACACTAGCGGGTGCTCGGCAAGACCGGTGAGTGGTTGACTTACCTGAGCCGGTGATCCTGTGGGCCAACAGGCATTGTGTTCTATTTTCATTCTCGCCCCTATATAAGATGGGGGTACATCCAGAAAACCTACTGCATTCAGCATGTTGATTCTCTGTTTTCTCTAGATGTACTACTGTTGTTCCTTCAAGTATTGTCCTAGGCTGTACACATTGGCTTTATTTAAGTTGCTCTGAACTACTGATAACCATCTTTCTTGTTCTCATTCTATCTTCCAAAACAAGCTACTTGTATTTGCAAGCTACAGATATTCAGGTACATATCTTTTACAAAAAGGTCATCTTTTCTTGCTCAGAAAATAGTATTATGGTAGGTGTTTGAGATTGCTTATCTTGCATAAACTTAGGTAAATATTACTATTTGTTCTTCTAAAGTCAACATAGATATAAAATCTTGGCGGATACTATCTTTACATGGTGCCCTATGCATTTTCTTTATGATGCAAATCAGTGGCGAAATTCTTCCTCTACTTAATTGAAAGGCAGAGCTCCTGCCAATTTGTTCAAAAAAAAAATCACTGGCGAAATTAGTAACTGTGTATGATTCCATTGTCATTTCCACTTTTCTCATCACTTTTTTTTTTCTGAGGAAACAGGAGTGGTTTGCACCTGCTGGATGTTCTCATGACTTCTTTGGTTTCCTCATTATTTGTTCTTGTTCATGCTGTCTTATGCAGTTATGCTGCAGTGATGGCAGATTGGACAAGGAAAACATCTGTGCATAAGCAGACTAGATGAGAAATACACTGAAATACAACATGTTTTACCACTAGCATGCACTGGTTGAAATTATTTACATGGTTAGTTTGCATTTACACATTACTCATATTACTCCTAGCATCATGAAACTATCACTTGATGAGAAGCAGGAGCTTTGCAGTTTGTTCAGCTTCTCGCTATTTTTCTTTTGTAGTTACGTTTGCCTGAAGCCCTGAACTGCTCCACCACGCCGGCAAGGTGGCAACAGCCATGAAAAGTTTATGGCTTTATGCTCATGGATAAATAATCTGCCTGGCCTTGGTCATATCAATGTAGCTCATCAATTGGAAAATGTTCTAATTAGATATAAATTTTTGAATGATAAAACAATTAGTTTTACTAGCAATCAAGAAACCTCCTTGCCACAATTTCAGTTCAAGGTGCTAATTACAAAAGGTTACTGCAATTTAATCTCAAGATAGCCTTCTATGCAACAAAATGACAAGGAGCTCAGATAAAGAAACGGGATGACGTGACATTAACAAATGTATGGGTCCACATTATAGACAATTAAATATGCATATAGCTTATAGTTATTACCACAAAATGATGGACTGTTCAAGTGCATATCTTCTAAGAGAATAGTTACATCAAGATGAAACTGTTTCAGAAGCATTTAGTTTTCCTTTTACATGCTCAGTAAAATAGCTATTTCCCTTAGCTAGTACCCTTTCTTGCTATTATAGTTGTTATCGTCTATTGCTATTTTCTAGCTTAATCTTGGGCTGTTATATAATGCTCTGTCTTTTATTTTCCATGTGGTTTTCAGTAACAGGCTAACATAGCTCCATCACGATTAACTTCCTTAATGCAAGCTATGCCTTGGAACATAATGAGTAGCTAGCAGCTGCCATCTGAATAGCCTAGTGAAAAGTACACAGAGGTGTTACATTATGAGCAGCTTCAGATACTTACAAGTACCACATGCCTTAGCTTATTCCATTGGAAAAAGAGAAGAAGAGCAAAAGAAGTCATGAGGCAGCCGAAAAGCAGTGACATGTACTTACATGAAAGAAGTCACATTGCAGAGCATCTAGCCAGTTGATGTACACTCCCGGCATTTCAGTATTGTGCAGTTATGTCTTATGAAGCTATGTATTTTCTCTACACAGTTCTGTAAGTGTACACATGTTTTCTAGAAAATTGCAGCTGGAGTCTATTCCCATTTGTCTACTTCAAATTTACTCCCTCCGTTCCAAAATTATAAGACGTTTTGGCTTTTCGAGATACATTTGTTTTTACTATTTATCTAGACATAGTGTATATCCAAATGCATAGCAAAAACTGCGTATCTAGAAAAACCAAATCGTCTTATAATTTGGAATGGAGTGAGTATATGAACGGGAAGGCCATTGAACCCCGCCTGATACTCATTTATAATGCTCAAAATGCACTCATACCACTTCAAATATTCTGCAACTAAAATGCCAAAAAAATTGCTCAATTTCTTCCTGACAAACTGAAAAGAAGAAAAGGGACGTAGCCACAGCCCATGTGGCAATGAAGAAACTAAGAAATGCATGGCTCCACATTTTGAGCAATTAAACATGCACGTAATTTTGAATCACTAAGATATTTGCCACAAGCATTCTAGTGATTTGTGCTTAGCTTGTAATAAGTACTCCTAGCAGCTTGTTCGGCTGCCATTTTCAGCCGGCTGCACTGGTAGTATTATACAGTAACATGTGAGGGAGTAAACAGCCACAGCGTCTCTCTTTATTCGATTGCAATGAGAAGGTGGGTCTCGACCTAATATTTTCTTGTATTCGGGATTCCTGTTTGTGTTGAAGGCTGGATATATTTTATGTCTGCATTACCGATAAATAAAGAAAGAGCATGCTCTCTTTATTCTCCAGTTCTGCCCGCTCTCTCAGCTTTACACGCCTTTACCAGCTTTCCACCACCCGGTCGTATTCTCTTCTGATTCGTTTGATCGTTTCTTCTTTCGCTACGCTGCCCTCACTTTTGCTTCCTCCTTCGTTCACCATCTCTCAGATCGATCTCATGGAGGCGGCAGAGGCGACCGCTATGGAGTCCGCGATTCTATGGCGGGTGCAAACCATCCTCGAAACTCTTTCGCCCGGCGAGCTCAACGCATGGCTTCATGGAGTTGGCCTCGCTGGTGGCATCGGGGAACTCAAGTCTGAGGTGGAGAGGATGGAGACGGTGGTTAACGGTGTCAAGGGGAGGGCGGTCGGGAACAAGCCGCTTGCCCGCTCCCTCGCTCGTGTGAAGGAGCTCATGTACGAGGCCGACGACGTGGTTGATGAACTCGACTATTGCAGGCTCCAGCATAAGGTCGAAGAACGTACGTATGCATCCATCCTTGTGGTTTGTGACTTTCTTTACAGTTTTTTTCCCTTTAGATTGTGATAATCCTCATGACAAGTCCTTTCTCCTTTCTCTTTCAGATATGATTGCTCCTTCTGTTGAGCTAGAAGGCATGGCTGGAGGTGGAGCAGAGCAAGTAGATGCATCGGTCAATACTGTTGGTATACATTGATCCTTGTGAATGATTTGTGATTTTCTACAGTTTCTTTCTTTAGTAAATTGTGATGATAAACTCGACGCTTGACATGTCCTTACTTTCTCCGTTCTCTGTCAGCTATGCTTGCTCCTGCTACTGAGCCAGAAGGCATGGCTGGAGATGGAGAGAGAAATAGAGCAGAGCAAACAGATCCATCGGCCAACAGTACTGGTACACTGAGCAATAGCGGCCGCAAAAACCGATCCGAGGTGCGGGACTATTTTCAGATTATACCATCTGTTAACGGAGAGCCTGCAAAAGCGAAGTGCAATTGCTGCGCCAGAGAGCTTACATGGGATCACGGGACATCAGCTTTGCACAAGCATCTCAAAAGTTGCAACAAAAAACGTTCAGCAATTGAAGAGACGCCGAACCGTCCAAGGTACTACTTACCCTTCAAGTTCTGCATCGCAACGCTTAATATATAATATGCGTACATGTGATCCTTTAAATTATAGTAATAATTTTCTGATGACCAACCTGTGATTCTTTTCCTCTTGTAGTGTCGGCAACAGTGTACAAAATGGTGCCACAATTTCGACCAATGATTCAGACGGGAGAAAAAGAAAGAGAATTGAGTACAATGTAGCTACAACCACACACCTCTGGGACAAGGCCGAATTTTTGAAAAGGATCCAGGAAATAGTTCTTGAGTTAAGAAGCATCCGACACGATGTGATTGAGTATCTCAAGGACTCTATTGCAAGGCCTGATCAGTATCAGATTAACAACTCAGATACACGAGTAAGAACATCAAGCTCTCGTCCTGGAAAGGTATATGGAAGGGATGATGAGAAAATCAACATCATATGGGCGATCAAAGATGCTAAGTCGGACAACATAACTGTGCTACCTATTGTAGGCATTCCAGGAGTTGGGAAGACAGCTTTAGCTAAACTTGTATACAATGCACCACGTGTTGAAAGAAAATTTGAGCGGATATGGGTTTGGGTGTCCAACATCTTTGATGAAGTAAGAGTGACAAGGGAGATCTTAGACGTTGTTGCTCTAGCCAACCATGAAGGATCTCGCAAAAGAGAAAGCTATGAAGGAGTCAGCAACTACTCGAAACTTCTAGAGGCCTTAAAGAAACATATAGCATGTCTGTCCAAAAAGTTTCTACTTGTTCTAGATGATGTCTACGACTGCATGGATAATTCCCAATGGAAAGATCTAATAGATGCTTTGGGATCAAGTTGCAGAAAGGGTAATGTGATTATTGTGACAGTTAGAAATTTGGCCGTTGCAAAAAGGCTAGGTACAATAGAACCAGTTAAGTTAAGAGCTCTAGAAAATGATGATTTTTGGCTATTGTTTAAAGCATGTGCATTTGGTGATAACCAATGCAAAGAACATCTAGATATCGGCGGTCAAATAGCTACAAAGTTAAATGGCAACCCATTAGCAGCAGAAAATGCAGCGGACATGTTAAGAGAGCAGCCCTGGTCTTCACCATTGGAAAAGCATCATGAAGAATGGTGTTTTGGAATCTCTGCAATTCCGTGGAGGCATCATGACTGCTTTGAAGATTAGTTATTATCAGTTGCCATACAATTTACAACAATGTCTCTTGTTTTGTTCTATATTTCCGAATGGCTATTTGTTCCATATTGACAATTTGGTTCACATGTGGATATCGTCGGGATTTGTGAAATTTGTTGAGGCAGGACAAGATTACCTCAATGCTCTGGTTAACTCAGGTTTCCTTGAGCAGGTTATTATAACAGACTTCATTATACTTGGCCATAAAAAATGCTATGTTATGTGTGGTGTGATGCATGAATTTGCAAGACTGGTTTCAAGGGCCGAGTTTGCAACTATGGATCATTTAGAGTGCAAAGAAGTTCTACCAACCGTAACGCCATTTTTCAATCCTAATTGATTCAATGTATCATAAAGATGAACGTGGGTTCACACTTCGTAATGGGAAGTTTGAAGAAAAGTTGATGAGTATGATTTCTTCAGTGAGAAGATTGAGGACATTGATCTTAATTGGGCATTATGACTCATTATTCTTCCAGTCCTTCCATACCTTCATGTGCAGTTTGGTAAAGTGTACCCATCTTCGTTACCTAAAACTTAAGAACAAAGGGAGCAATGAAGCTTTGCTTATATCTCTGAGCAATTTTTACCATCTTGAAGTATTAGATGTTGGACAACCACTAATTGTTGATGGTATGAGTGATCTTGTGAGCATGAGGAATCTTATTCTAACAAAGGGAGCCTTCGGTGCTTGCTCCCCAGCATGGTCTGCTTGCTTGCAGAAGATCCATCTAGAGGATTGTGAAGGATGGGAAATACTACCATCTCTAGAAAGTCTATCGTCTCTTACGAAGTTGAAGTTAAGGAATATGCCAGAAGTAGCGGAGTTGTCAATTCCTTCACTTGAGGAACTGGTGTTGATTGATATGCCAAAGTTAGAGAGATGTTCCTCTAGTTCAGTGAGGGACTTGAATTGTAGTTTGAGGGTGCTGGAGATTAGGCGGTGCTATGTACTGAAGGCATTTCCCCTATTTCAGAGTTGTGAAAAATGTGAAATCGAGCAGCACTCATGGTTGCTCCATGTTAGCGAGCTTACCATCGAGGATTGTCCTTATTTAATAGTATCAAATCCTCTACCACCTTCAAGTAGCCTTTGTAAATTATCCATCACAAAAGTTTCCGCACTTCCAAACATGGAGGGATCATCAAACGGGGAATACATAATTGGATCTTATGGTGATCCATATACCATTGATTTCCTTGATGACAAAATTTTGTCATTCCACAACCTGAGGACCATAACTCGATTGCAAATAGTGGGCTGCAATAATCTGTTGTCTATTTCACTAGAAGGTTTGAAGCAACTCGTCTGTGCTTGAAGAGGTTGGAAATATTGTCATGCCAAACAAATTTCTCTTCAGATGTGTCGTCAACACATACCCACGAATACATGACAAGCACAAATTTTGATGCCGGTCCATCTCTCGAGTGTCTCAGCATTACAAGGTGTGGAATAATTGGCCAGTGGTTATCTGTGATATTGCAACATGTGCGAGCCCTAGAGACATTGGATCTACTGAGTTGTGAGCAGATAACAGGACTATTGATACAAGGTAAAGAGAATACTTTATCAAATCTCACCTCGGCTCCATGTGTTTCATCACAGGGAAATCCAGATGGCGCATCGACAAGGCCATGTCCTAACAAACTCCTGCGGATTCCATCTAACCTCATACCCTCTCTCAAGAAGATGTCCATTAAGTTTTGCAACCTAAAGTTTCTGGGGAACAAGGAATGCTTCTCTGGATTCACCTCCCTTGAGGAGCTAAGAATTTTTGAATGCCCCGAGCTGATATCGTCCTTCGTGCGTGAAGACGAAATCGATGACCAGGCAAACGGAAGATGGCTTCTCCCGTGTTCACTTGGCATACTGGTTATCGTTGACGCTTCCCTAGAAACGCTGCAGCCCTGCTTTCCGGGAGATCTGACCCGCCTCAAAGTACTAGAAGTGTGGGGAAATTATGCATTGAAATCTCTACAGCTGCATTCCTGCACAGCACTAGAAGCGCTGACAATTCGACATTGCCAATCGCTAGACGCACTAGAGGGTGCCCGATCCCTCCGCAGTCTCAGGTATTTGATAGTATTCGGATGCCCAGGCTTACCTCGATGTTTGAAGAGTCTATCAACGCAGGGTTATGAGCTGTTCCCTCGATTGGAAAGGCTTCGGATCGATGACCCGTCTTTTCTTACCACGCCATTCTACGAGCACCTCACCTCTCTCCAATGCCTACAGCTCGAGGACAAATATTGCCTCTCGGCTTATAAGCCATTGACATGCGAGCAAGAGGCAGCACTTCAGCTCCTCACGTCCCTGCAAGATCTCCAATTTGTTGGTTACCGCAAATTCCTGGATCTTCCTGTGGGTCTGCATAGCCTTCTCTCTCTCAAGCGGTTGGAGATCAATGATTGCTGGAGTATCTTAAGGCTGCCAGAAAGGGGCCTCCCACCTTCCCTGGAAAAACTGGAGGTCCACCATTGCAGCATGGAGCTAACCGAACAATGCAGAATGCTAGCGACAAGCAAGCTAAATGTAAAAATTGATGGGAATTATGTGAACTGATTACAGGTTTCTCCACATCTCGCCTTGAAAGGTATACTTCTACCGTTGACCATGTTATCTTGATGGTTTACATACATTTTTATGTCTATTTGCAGGCATTCAAGCTGACACCATGGCTGCAGTGACCGTCTTCAGAACCTATCGGAGTATCATACTGTTACAAGCTGTTCGAGCAAGTGTTGAAAGCACTTCCCTGTTTCTCCTAGGAGACCTGCTACAAATTACAAGGCTTACTGTTGACCACGGCCCAAGGGGCAGAAGCCAATGCCAAAAGTGTAGTTCTTTTCACTCTGTAGCCTCAAAAACCTTATGTTTCTAGTTTCAAAAAAAAAGTGATGTTTCAAAATGGTGCCACAATTTCGACCAATGATTCAGACGGGAGAAAAAGAAAGAGAATTGAGTACAATGTAGCTACAACCACACACCTCTGGGACAAGGCCGAATTTTTGAAAAGGATCCAGGAAATAGTTCTTGAGTTAAGAAGCATCCGACACGATGTGATTGAGTATCTCAAGGACTCTATTGCAAGGCCTGATCAGTATCATATTAACAACTCAGATACACGAGTAAGAACATCAAGCTCTCTTCCTGGAAAGGTATATGGAAGGGATGTGGAGAAAGCCAAAATCGTAAGGGCGATCAAAGCTGCTAAGTCGGACAACATTACTGTGCTACCTATTGTAGGCATTCTAGGAGTTGGGAAGACAGCTTTAGCTAAGCTTGTATACAAGGATCCACGTGTTGAAAGAAAATTTGAGCGGATATGGGTTTGGGTGTCCAACATCTTTGATGAAGTAAGAGTGACAAGGGAGATCTTAGACGTTGTTGCTCTAGCCAACCATGAAGGATCTCGCAAAAGA